GCACTTTGCCCATTCCGCCCTTCTGCCTGCCCCCCCCCCCCATGGCTGCTTCCTGGCCTTGCCCATTCTGCCCGCTGCCTGCCAGCTATGACTGCTTCCCACCCACTTTGGCTGCTGTCAGCCAGCCTTGAGGATCAGTAGACTCAACCTACAGCCTTAGTCTATGCCATGCCCACCTACAGGCGATGGGCTGTAGTTCTCTACCTACACAATCATGGGCACTAAAAGTTCTGTAATCTTCAGGTCAATAATCCCCAAGGTACAAGTGGCCAGGGGAGGCCCTGCCATGCCTGCTGCTGTGTCTGTGCTGAGACGGTGTGAGAGAGATGGCTACGGGCTCACGGTGGGTTAATCATGGAACTCAGACCTGCTCTTCTCTTTGCTAGAGCGCACTGACAACATCCCCTGCTCACGCTCAGCTTGCTCCGGTCACGGGCTCCAGCTTGTCTGCACAGAATGAAGCAGGACCCCACAGAGGTCTTAGGTGGTGTGATGGGGGTGTGTTTTGTCAAGCAGGTTGTGCTCAGGGAAGAAGAGAGAGCGCAGCAGGAGACTTCCCTAACACAGGGGTCCCGAGCAGAGAAGACCCTCCCTGTGGTCAGGAAGTCAGAGCGGAAATTAAATTTCAGGATTTACTGATTGAGTTTACCATTTAGGCCTGCCAAGAAGTGAGCAATTTCGTGTGGAAACGATCAAGCTGCTTCAGTGTCCCACAGAGAGAGAAGGCTCTCCCGGGGTTTCAAACGCGGTCTTTACTCGGCTTGCAGACAGAAGTGGAGGCTAGGAAACTGCTTGCCCTGGGCGGGTGAGACAAAAGGACCACGCATGCGTGGAAACCACTGTGAAGGCGGGGCAGAAACCCAGTGAGAGCTGAGCAGAGCTGCGCTGGCTGGGCTAGGAATCTTACCGCGTGCTCAGAATGGGGTGTGCCCAGCTCTAAAACCTACCGCCCTGATGAGCCCAGTGTCGCCAGGAGTGTGCCACCTGCCGAAAGGCTGGGGGTTTTTCTAGAAACATAAAAGCAGCTAAGCAAGGCCTGCACCATGAAACAGTTACAAGCTGTGGTCCGGTGTTGAGACTGTGTTTGTCCTGTTGATTTTTTTGAGTCTAAGAGGCACATTGAAAAATACGTGACTCTCAGAGTTTAGAAATTTTCTTTTCTTTTTTTAAAAATATTTATTACATATACAATATTCTGTCTGTGTGTCTGCCTGCAGGCCAGAAGAGGGCACCAGACCCCATTACAGATGGTTGTGAGCCACCATGTGGTTGCTGGGAATTGAACTCAGGACTTTTGGAAGAGCAGACAATGCTCTTAACCTCTGAGCCATCTCTCCAGCCCTAGAAATTTTCTTACAATTAGACCATATGATTTAAGCCCAGAGTAAGGCATTATGTGATTTTTATTTTTGATCCCCACTGAAGGAGTTCAGTTTAAAAGAAACATTAGGAAGTTTTTATCAGGACAAGACGCTGGAGCAAGGGTGAAGGCAGAGGGTGTGGCTAACAAAAACCTAGCCCTTGGTGACCATGAGAAGGCAGTGCCCAGAGAAGTCGTTCCCAGGGGTCAGAAGAGGGGAGTGGATGCTGTGGTGGGGGGCAGATGCCATCATGCATTTGTTCTATCCCTGAGAAATTACAGCACTCAGGGTGAACTCTAAAGCCAACAGTGAGCTTTGGGGGGTGGTGTGTAGGTTCAGAGCTTGTAAAAGAGCCACTGTGACAGGCCATGTTGATGGGGGGTGGATGCCTGGGCGGGGTCAGGACATATGTGGGAAGTATATGTACCTTCCTTTTAAACTGTCTGTGTGCTTAAATGAACCTGAAACATAATTTAAGGTCAGGGGTGCAGCTCAGTTGGTGGAGTTATCTAGCATCTGTAAAGTGGGGTTGACCCCCAAAACTACAAAAGAAGGGTGTGGTGGTACACATTTGAAAACTCAGCCTTTGGGAGGCGAAGGTAGAAAGATTAGAAGTTCAAGGTCCTCCTCACCTACGTAGTGAATGAGTTCAGGGCCGGCCTGGGATATATGAGACCCTGAATCAAGAACAAAAACATTACAAGATTGAGTCTAGGAGCTCTGTGGCACCTGCAACCCCAGCACTGTGTGGGGCGGAGGCAGGAGGATTTCCGGGGCTTGCTGGCAGCCAGTTTGGAGTGAAGTAGAGGAGAAACCTGTCTCAAAAGAATAAGGTGGATCAGGACACTGGATGTTCTTTTCTGCATACACACACACACACACACACACACACACACACACACACATGCTTAGCTCTCTCACACCCATGTGTGTTTAACACACACACACGCGCACACACACGGGCTGGGACTCAGTCTTCTGGTTTAAGAGTGGCCTCTGGCAGGTCTCTGGCTTGGGGGAGCTAGTACGCATGCTTTTGAATGCCTTTGAAGCGCTGCTGAGATGCGGGGGTTGCGGGCTGTGCAGCTGCTAGACCTACCATGAAGGTGTCATGGGCACCGACTTCGCTTTGAGCACAGGAAAGCAGGGCTTTGTTGGCAGATCCTCTATAAAGAGCAAAACCTTTTCTCCGGTATCTCAACATCTCTGGTATTTCTGGACCATGGAAGACCAGAGAACAGTCCAAAAGAGCTTTGGCATGTGGATCCAACTTCTTGCCCTGTGGAGCTCAGGGGCTGGCAACTCATTTGGACTCAACACTGCCAGGCTACCCAGCCTCTACGCCAGAGTTCACAAGCAGAGTGGAGACCATGCTCAGACTGACGAGAAGGCAGGAGACAGAAAACAGAGTCCCTTTTCATGTCTGTTTCAACAGCCGGATCTAAGAATGGGGAGGGGCCTCGATGGGACAGAGTGTGATGTATGCAGGCTCCTCCTTCACAGTGGAGCTGGAAAATAGACACCCAGCAATCTCCAGGACAGGAAGACCTCTTATATGCTGGAATACACTTAAAAATACAGTATGTGAGCTCGTAAAACTGCTCTCTTGGTAGAGGGACTTTTTGCCAAGCCTGATAAGCCGAGTCCTATCCCCACAGCCACAAATTGTCTGCCAACCTCTACGCTTGCATTGAGACACACAAACATGTACACATACACAAACAGAGGTAATAAATACTGAAACAAATCAGAACCAATGGACTCCTTCAGAATCTCCAGAGGGTTTACGAGGCATGGAAGGGAGAGAAGAGGCACTGTGGATTTCAAGGCCGAGCCAGTGTGTGTGTGTGTGTGTGTGTGCATGTGCACGTGTGTGCACATGTGTGTGTATGTGTATATGTGTGCACGTGTATGTGTGCATGTGTGTATGTGTGTGCGTGCATGTGTGTGCACTTGTGTGTGTGTGTGCACGTGTTATGTGTGCGTGTGTGTATGCGTGTGTACGTGCATGTGTGTGTCTGGTGCTGGGGGGTGAACCCAAGACCTCACACATGCCATGCAGGTGCCCTTCCACAGCACTACAACCCTAGACGTTTCTTCCCACTTTTCATACTGAGACAGGGTCTCCCCGAATCGCTCACGCTCTGCTTGTGCTTGCTTGAGAGCCTACTGGGCCTTGAACTTGTGATTCTGCTGTCTCAGCCTCCAGAGTAGCTGGGATTACAGGCCAGTACCAACAGGCCCATGATTACTCTCGCTATCTTTCCCTCTTATCAACAAGCATTGAGTTTCCTAGATCTCCATCTTCCTACCCCCAATTTCCCTGCCATGTAGGAAACACTGTCTAGATCTGGGGACTTCCCTGAGGTCCAGCTGCTTCTCCCAGTATCTAGGAGTGTTTCCCCTGAGCTAGTTGTCTTTGCTCTTGGACTTCTGTGGTCAGGCTCAGCTTTGTGTAATGGGCTGGATGCTGGACAGGAGGAATTTTTAGCTTTTCTTAGACACCCGAGGGGATTCTTCTCAATGCGGCTTGAGAAACATACCTCATTGGCTCACTGACCTTTCAAAACGGATGGATTTGGGTCTGGCTTAAGGGAGGATGAACCTTTACTTGTTTGTTTGTTTGTTGTTTTTTGCAGTGTATGTAGTCTAACAGGTGGGGACTTGCGGTGGTGTTGGCATGTGTCAGTATATACCAGGGTCACCTCAAGGTGCAGCGTGGTGGCCCTCAGGTGCTTCATCATGTCCTGTACTCAGCACAGGTGTTCCTGAGTGATCTGTGGAGGTGCCCGTGGACAAGATAGATGTGCTCAGCCGTGGATGCCAGAAGATGAGATTAGATTTCAGAATTTATTACTGAGGCAAACCACCCTTTGCCCTATCGAAAGGCAGACAAATAGTGCCAGGGCAATGGAGCCACTCCTGGCTCCCCTTAGCATTGTCTTGGGTTGGGAGGGAAAGTGGTAGCATCTCCCCTTTTGCCTTTCATGGGGGCAGACAAGCAAGTTGAGCCTCAGCACTTGGTGACCTCAGCACTTGGTGACCTCAGCACTTGGTGACCTCAGCACTTGGTGACAGTTCTGTGGGCTCCTGACCGGGGGCTGACAGCCACACAGCCATGAAAAGCAAATGTGTCAGAGCCACTCTGGCTTGCTAGTCTGAAATCCGGAATTCAGATCAGGTTTTGGAGGAGGCTCACCCAGACTCAGCAAGGCCTTCCTTCAGAGAACGTACAAGTTATTAGCAGGACCGTTACAAAGGAAACGCTTAACAGACCAAAGAGGCCAAGGACTCTTTGAGAATTGCTAATGCTCTAGAAGTGCTTATTAAATTCTATGAATAATTAATGAGCCTACTCTAATTTTTTCTTGACAGCAGATTCTTGAAGGCCTCTTCTCCAGCCGCCACGCTGTTAGAAACCGCCCTTACTTGTGGTCCTCAGGGCTTGACTGTCAGCTCCCTGAGGGCAGTCCCGAGTCTCACCTTCCATGCGGTGCACATAGTAGGTCCTCAGGGAATCTTGAATTAGTTGAGGATCTTGATTAGTTAATGGTCAAACAATGACGTCAATTCCAGGATCTGTCCCATATACAGTATTTGGTAAAGAAGCATTTCCTGGAGTTTGTCTTTGGTTAGGGAGTGAAATGAACCCTGGACAAATGATTACCCAGGGGAATACCAAGGTTTGCTCGTGATTACTGAGGAGAATACCAAGGTTTGCTCACGATTACTGAGGAGAATACCAAGGTTTGCTCACGATTACTGAGGAGAATACCAAGGTTTGCTTGTGATTACCGAGGAGAATACCAAGGTTTGCTCTTGATATTCATCAGTGCGTGTCCTGGAGAAGAATGAGCCGAGGAGCAGCCGAAGGAGGACCGGTTCTGCCCACAGGGTGTTCTGATGTGATTGTCTTACGACATTATAATTATTGTGTACAGGGAGACTTTAACTTCACAACTATTTAGTCCATTCTTTCCTCTAGGGGCAGCTACTGACCCAAGAGACATCTACCCTCTCCTTAGAACAGTTTCATCTCACCTATAAAACGACACAATTTCATTTCCCAAAGGCCTGTAATCGAGTCAAAACCTTGAGAGACACAGTTCACTTGGAAAGCGTAGGTAGGAGCATAATTCAGATACTTGGCTGTCTTTCCCTCTGCGTGGACATCGGGTGCTGCTGGCTGCTGGGTGCTCATGGCGGAGAGCTCTGCTCCATCCTTTCTTGCGTGGCCTCCTCAGATCATCGGGTCTCCCACTGGCATCTGGATGCACGTTAGACTTCTCCACATAAAGAGCTAAAGAGCTGCCCCATTGTTCTCTGGGAGAGTGAGCGAGGCAGAGTGCCACAAATTCTGTGAAGCGTGTTTGCTTCATTCGGAACAGGAGATAGCCCCGAGGGACTTTGATGTGAAAGTCTGGGATTTTCTCTCTCTCTCTCTCTCTCTCTCTCTCTCTCTCTCTCTCTCTCTCTCTCCTTTCTTTCTTTCTCTCTCTCTTTCTTTTCTTTCTTTCTTCCCCTCCCTCCCTCCATCTCTCCCTCCTTTCCTTCCTTTCTTCCTCTTCTTCCTCCTCCTCTTCCTCCTCCTCTTCTCCTTCTTCTTGTAAATCCAAGGACACTTACATGGACCTGGGCTCTGGCTGGGTGGTTTAGTTTGCAAATCAAGCGTGTGTCCATTTTGCACACGGGCCTTGACTGCCAATGAAGGACACCTGCACTTCAAAGCAGGGAGCTAATTTGGATAATTTATTCCTGAGCAGTTTTACTGTCAGGATGCTACTTCCCCTGGTCCTAACCTCTTTAGGATTAGTTTGAACAGCAGCTACCTTTGCGGCGAGCAAACGCCTGGGGAGCTCACCTCTCAGCTCCCAGCGGGGCGGAGGAAGCGTCTTTATTCCCGCCAGTGGCTGAGAGGCACGTAGGGGGCTGGAGCACTCACACTTGCCGCTCAGTTGATAATCAACAAATTCTCATCCCGAGGACTACGCTTGAAGTGCCTGTCTCCCGAGTTCCTCTTTCAAGGGCTTGACTGTAAAAGCCGCTCTTCAAAGTCCTTATCATTTTCCAACACCCTCCGCAGCCGCTCCACCGCTGGTGCTGAGCCGTGACCTGTGCCGCGGCACTCGCGGCTTCTGCCTCCGGGTTGGCTGCCGCGACACCTGGCGGTCAGCCTTATGGTAATTACTTACGGCTGGCTTATTGGCAGCGTGTTTATTCCCGTCCTCAGCTCACTTGGAGTCACACCGATTTTGGTAATCAATGATCTGACAGATTGCTTTTGCTGATTTTTTTTTTTTCCTTTTCAGTTGTACCTGTGTTTATCTACTCTATCACAGATCAGCCTAAGCACCTGAGCTCTGCTCCAGACTTCTCTTGCCGGGGATCAGCTTTCTTTGATAAGGTCTCCAAGTCCAGATAAGGGCTCCATTTCAAAGCTGCCCCGAATCCCGAGCTCCGTAAGTAGTGGACAGAACACGGGATGAATGGCTTAAAACCTGGCACCCACAGTCCCCCAGTCTCCCCATTCTCCCTTAGTCTGTCCTAGGCATGTTTAAGCCCCAAGGGTCCCTGGGAGGTTAAACGTGCCTCCTTTGGACCCTGATAACTCCCTTCAATGCTCTCTTAAGGAGTGTGTCAAGTTTAAGATCTTGAAAAGCAAACAAAGGAAACACGCAGGCTTAAAGCAACACTTGACAAGAGAATGTCATTTTCCCGTGATTAGGCTGTTGCTCGACCAAGTAGATTATATTCTTGATTTTATCTCTTGGTCAATGTGTTTTCTTGTGTTGTTACTTATGGCCGCTATCCTGTTCTTGGGAGCATTTTATTAAAATGCACCCTGGTTCATCTGGTTTCATGATGTGGTTTATTCCATACTGATGCTGGAGGACCTCTTTCTTGGCCGTGGACACTGTGTATACTGAGATCGTTCCCGCAGCCACGAATGTAGTCTCGTCTTTGGTCTGCTCCTGATGCAGAGCAGGGTTAACACAGCAGGCCGGGGACCACTCTGCTCGGACATGCCGGCCGTGACGGTGGCTTTGAGCTGGGAACACGGCTGTCAATCCGCTATGCCGCTAAGGAGCCTTGTACTGAATGCTGAGCGTGGACGCTGAGCGCGCCTCGGCGGATACAAATGATGCGATTGTACTCCACATCTGCTTTCCTCCCGGGGGTCTAGAGTTTTGGGATGTGCTAGGCAGGGGATGCCTGCATGACCAACCCTGGTGAAAATCGTGTGCACTGAGTTGCTAATGGACTCCCTGTTTCCAGTGCTCTATTTTTGTTGCTTGGAGCGAGGTACCGTCTGGGTTCCTTAGCGGGAGAGTCAGTGTGAGCACAAGAGGAAGTCTGTACAACTGACCTGAGCTCGCGGGAGCTCATGGACTCTGAACCAATTGCTAGGGAGCCTGCGCCGGACCGACCTAGGCCCTCTGCATGTGTGTGACAGTTGTATGGCTTGGTCTGTTTGTGGGGGCTCCTCGCCGTGAGATCAGGACCTGTTTCTGGCATTTTGCAGGCTTTTGGTAACCTGTGCGTGCTGGATTACCTGGCCCCGCCCCATAAGGGGAGGAGCTCGGTCCTGCCTCAACTTGACGTGTCCTGCTTAAACCCAAGGGAGGCTTATTTCTTTCTGAATGGAGTTGGCGGAGGAGTGGATGGGGAGGGGGTAGATAGGAGGTGGGAAGGGGAACGGGAGGAGAGGATGGAGGGAAACCGTGGTCAGTATGTAAAATAAATGAAAAAAAGTTAACTAAATAAAAGAAAAAGAGGAAGCCTGTATGCTGATGCCTCCAGAGATTGCCTGAATTTTCTCTCTGTCCCACACGACTCTGTTATGATTCTGTATAGCTATAACCTATGCCCCAGAAGCTCTTTCGGCAAATCTCTGGGTGAAGGAGTCACTGGGGAACTTTTGAGCCCTGCCATTAGTTATGAAATTCCAGCAAACCATTTGATGGCGTTATCATCCAAGACCTGGATCTTTGTCACGGCTTACTCATCACTGCCCACTGTTCAGCTTAAGTGTCCCTAAGAGCTGAGGGTCTGCTTAGTTTGTGTCTGCTCTCCCACTTCCATAACGAGCACCACTCCACTCTAATTTCCTTCTCTTGTGTTAATTTTACAAAGTCCACACCTTAGAAGTTCACCTGGGAAGTGCTAAGATCATCGGCAAGCGCAACTGGGTGTTTTAGAAAAGCGTACACTCAAGGTGAGATCTGTAATATCACAGTAGCTAATCATATCGGTACGGACACCCTCGAAAGTGTGCCCGTGCATTTAAAAGATTCTCCCTGTGGTGAATTTGAGAATCTAACTGAACCGGCTGATTTGGATGATGTGAAGGAAGAAGCAATGCTGGCAGGGTCTTGGGTTTTGTCTTGTTCCAAAGCCATGTGGTCATGTTTTCCTCAAGTAGACAGGGTATGAGGCATGGGTCAGAAGCAGGCTTGTTTCACCTCCTCATGGTAGACAAGCAGCTGGTGCGACAGATGTGGAAAGTATGGAACAGGAAGCCGAGGGCTGTGAAGCTGAATGAGCAACTTTGTAGCGATTCACTTGCTAGGTTATGAAGGGCGGTAGTAACTTTGTAGCGATTCACTTGATAGGGTATTAAGGGTGGTAGTAACTTTGAAATCCCTCACTAGATAATAGCCATGTCTCAGCATGGAGTGAAACACACCTTCAAAATGAGGTGTGTTCAGAAGTGGCAGAATTTCCCAGGTCTCTTTGGTGTCGATGCTTTCGGATACACAAAGTCATTCTAGTCTAGCAGTTCAAATTCTTCACAAAGGGATTAGTGTTGGTGTCATTTACCAAGCCTATGCTTATTGCTGCTGTCAATGTTTAAAAATAGTTCATTCGAGCCAAGCATTGTGTGTGTGACCATGGAATAAAGTATTTACCTTATTATGTTATATTATATTAATTTTTATTATATTATAAAACTTCTCAGGACAGCTCGGGTTGTGAAGCTCTTTGTATGAGGATAGCTCAGTTGTGCCAGCTCTACCGTCTACACTGTGAGTGATGCCTGCGACAGGTTTCTAGGAAATAACAACTTTAAAGACTACTGGAAGCAACAATGGTTTAGAATGTACTTTAAAGCCCTTGCCCACCCACAGCGCAGGATGTAGCCCTCAGATACTGCTCCAGGGCCATGCTACCATGCCCTTGCTATGCCACCCCCGCCATGATGATAACGGACTAGCCCTTTGAAACTGTAAGCAAGCCCCCAACTAAATATTTTGTTTTATTTAAAAAAAAAAATAAAAGAAAACCTTCCACAAAGGCATATGAAAACAGCATCGGAATGAATTTTTTGAACAGCCCCTAAATGCCAGGCAAATGCAGCCATGGAATGAGCTGAAGTTAGCATTTCAAATATCACACCCTGAAGATTGGCTCTGGCTCATCCCTGGCCCAATTTAGTAATCCCATAGGATTGTCTCAAGCGTGCGCTGTTTTAGAGAGAAACTGGGAAATGACTGCAGACTCAAATGAGCAGAGATCTATCAATCTCATTAGAAAGGCTCCCACGCACACGTGGTGCCGGCTCTCCCTGCACACTCAGACGTGCCCTGTGAGCTCACACATTCGCTACGTTACACATTTCCTAGCTTCACGAGCTAAAGAAGGGGTTCACACACAAACATCTGGGGCTTAAGTCGACACGTGTGCTTATTCGTCTACCGACAGTAAATACCTATTCGGGCCGCAGTAGAGGACAGATGTGGTTTTATATTAAAAAACCCAAACGTCTGCATGTTTGCAACACACAGGAAGAGCAGAACACGGGGGAGGGGAAGTGCGGGACGCACCGTACTCTGGGACTTGTCCGGTTCCCCGCTTCAGCAACAGCCTCGCTCGTCTTCCTCCGGATTTGATCAGCTCTATCGCTCTGGTGTGCGTCATGTCCCTTGTGCTTTCCCCATTGATCTCAATGATCTGATCGCCTACCTGCCAATCAAAGAGAAACAAAGTCAGGCAAAGATGGTGTGCTTTCACAACTGTCCAAGTATCACCCCCTTCCTAACGAGCACCTTGCCCACCCCGGATCTGAGTAACTGTATCGAGACTGGGTCACCCATGATCAGTTAGGACGGCAGAGGCCTCAGTTAAAATACTGGGCATTAGAATATTAGAGAATAGGTCTGGTATTACAATTCAAAATATCTTGGCAGCTTGTTTGACTTGAGAAATACATTCTACAGCTTTTCTATTGAACACATTACCAGCCTTCGGCTTTGTACCGCATCTGTTTAGCACGTTGGGAGGAATGACCATTTTTTGTGCTTCTCGGAGAATATTTGCCATGCATCATTTTGCATCATTTAAGCTTCTCTGGTTGCGACTGCGACACTGCCCTCACAGCAAGTGGCAGTTAGTGGGTATCCCGGTTTGGTGATGAGTTCTCTAACACTGCCCCTTGAATTAGCGTTCCGGGCCCCCTATTCTCTACACGTGACGAAGGCTCTTGTGAAAGCTTTGCCATGCTCCCACCGGGTTGCCAGAAGCTGTGTGGTGAAAAGTCACCCCCTCCAGAAATGTTAAAGATGCCTGTGCCCCATGAGCAGTTCCCACTCCCTCCAGAAATGTTAAAGATGCCTGTGCCCCATGAGCAGTTCCCACTTAGCTTTGGCAAGTAGATACCAGAGCACGAAGAGCTTCGGCTGCGAACGTATCATGTGACTCTCAGAGGCCCACTGTTGTCGCGGCCTCTGAATTAAAATGTATTGAATTTCAGGGCACGCTACTTAAAGACAAATAAGTCTTTAAGGGGAAAAACACAATGAGTTGCTCTCTAAAAATTTAGTGCAGATGGTTTCGTAAACAAAGAAGATCTCATCGCAATTAATATCTATAAAGCAGAGAGAACCAAGAAACTACAGTCAAGTTGATTGGGCAGACGGAGGAACAGGTGGTCGCTATCACCATGGAAACAGGGCACTGTAGCTGTCTAAAGAGGATTGGTCCAGAGGCTCAGACCCTTTCCAGCACAAGGGCAATAAGGATTTCCCTGCATGTGTTTGGTAGCCTCGAGAGGCATGGGCTTGGGGCAGTGGAAGAGAAAAGTGTTATTTCTGTGGCATTCATTCGACACAGGATGACTCAGAAGACAGACTAAAAGTTAATGTCACTGTCCTGGCTAGTTTTATGTCAGCGTGACACAAGCTAGAGTTATCTAAAAGGAAAGAACCTCATCTGAGAAAATGCCTCCATGAGATCCAGCTGTGAGGCATTTTCTTCATTAGTGATGGATGGGGGAGGATTGTGGGTGGTGCCATCCTGGGGCTGCTGGTCCTGGGTTCTATAAGAAAGCAGGCTGAGCAAGCCATGAGGAGCAAGCCAGTGAGTAGCACTCTCCATGGCCTCTATATCAGTTCCTGCTTCCAGGTGCCTGCCCTGTTTCAGTTCCTGTCCTGACTTTCTTCGATGAATAATAAA